CGAAATACAACACCGCCTGAGCTCTGCAAGTGCAGCATTTTCCCGAATGAAGCAGAGAGTGTTTGAGGACCGGGACATCCGTAGGGATACCAAGGTGCTTGTCTATAAAGCTATTGTCCTCCCAACCCTGCTATATGCCTGTGAGACGTGGACTGTCTACAGACGTCACATGCAACTCCTGGAACGATTCCATCAGCGCTGCCTCCGGAAAATCCTGCAAATCTCCTGGGAAGACAAGCGGACAAATCAGTGTGCTGGAAGAAGCAAAGACCACCAGCATTGAAGCGATGGTCCTCCAACATCAACTCCGCTGGGCCGGCCACGTTGTCGGATGCCTGACAACCGTCTCCCAAAGCAGTTGCTCTACTCCGAACTTAAGAACGGAAAACGAAACGTTGGTGGACAGGAAAAGAGATTTAAAGATGGGCTCAAAGCCAACCTTAAAAACTCTGGCATAGACACTGAGAACTGGGAAGCCCTGGCCCCTGAGCGCTCCAGCTGGAGGTCAGCTGTGACCAGCAGTGCTGCAGAATTTGAGGAGGCACGAGTGGAGGGTGAAAGAGAGAAACGTGCCAGGAGGAAGGCGCGTCAAGCCAACCCCGACCGGGACCGCCTTCCACCTGGAAACCAATGCCCTCACTGTGGAAGAAGATGCAGAGCAAGAATAGGGCTCCACAGCCACATACGGACCCACAGAGAAATCCATAACGGAAGACCATCTTACTCGTCCAACGAGGGATCGCCTAAGTAAGTAGTATTTTCCCTAAGTAAGTAGTATTTTCCCTGCCTGTGAACACTGGCATAATTGATTCAGTGAAAAAATAATACATTGCAAATGACTACCCCTGCTGCCACTCAGCCCTGATGAGACCCCAATCATTCCCTTCTTCCACCACTCTCCCCTTCTCTCCCCCTCAATCTCTCTCTCATCAAACACCATACCAAGACTGTCTTTCTCCCATTTTTATTATTTTATTTTATTATTCTTGATTTATCAAACTCTATTAAAAAAGAAGGCAAATGTACATGAACCTGTGAACTATAGTTCTGAGTCACTCCAGATTCCACCTTATGAGAACCTGAGATGGGACATATTCTCTTGTGACAAAATACCTTCCTGGACCTCAGCAGAGACCTTGATATCATCTGCCTGTCACTTCCCCTTTGGAGCTCCGTGTCACCCCACACACAATGTTTTGAGACAGAACTATGATTATAATCCTATCACCAAAACCACATTTTGAGATAGCATAAGGTGATGTGGGGACAATAATTCCCATTGTGGACAAAGGCATCTACATAATCCTGCCAAATGGGCTCTCAGATGCTCCTTTGTTCATCACATTCCATTGCTGCACATCCAGGGGTGGGCACACCCCCACATCTCCATCCATCCCCCAGAATGCCTTTCCAAGATCATTGGGAGCCATGGGGTTTCCCTGCCCAGCAGGAAGGGGATCCCCGGCCTTGTCACCGGCACTCCCAGCCAATCAGAGGAAAAGCTAGCTTGGTCCCACCTCCTAGCCAATCAGAAACCCAGGGGGCGGTTGCTGGCCAATCAGGGAAGAGGGAGGGAAATTTCGAAACTGGACCACAGTAGTGAATGGAATTTTATGTTTATAAAAATGTCAGTTTTACAAGCATGCTCTACATTTTGTACTTTGGAGCATCTGTGTTGTATAAATGTCCTTTTTGTGCAAATCGAATAAAACATTTGCTTTCATCCTGGTGAGTCTCTCAATTCCTGATTCACTCTCATCCACAGTTAGCAAAGCTTGCCAGGCATCCCTTGCTTTCCACAGGACATAGAAATCCTCTAAATTCCAGCATCAGTTCGGTGAGGCACCAGCACTTATTGGCAGAGAAGGCTGAAGCTCTTTTGAAACTAAAACTCTCATGATTCCATAGCACTGAGCTATGGCATGTACAGAGTAGATGCATCCATTGAGATTCTCCATTTTCCCAGAGAAAGTACTGCTATCTCTGGGCCCTATAGACAGACCCTATATTTCAGGATCTGATCCTAGAGCTGGCTAGGAGTAGCATTTTTGTGAGTTTTGGAAACCCCACTGTTTCTCTAATGTTAATGATGCTGTGAGGCTGGCATTGGCTCCTCCTTGCTTCTGTACCCTGTAACAGCTGCACAATTGTACAGCTGTGAAACAGTGCAGCTGCAAAATGCCAGAAATCTATAGTATATGCTCCTCAAAGGGAAATATATTTGTTCCAGAATTTCCTGCTGTGAAAGTAAATGGGAATCTCAGTGGTATGTAGTTGGAACCTATACCACTAGGTCATTGTATGGCACTTGGAAAAATACTTCAAGCAACACTGCGGTTACTTGAAGTCATACTGGCATGGCACCTCAGGGAAAGCTGAATGGCTTGTCTGGTGGGTCAATTGCCATTGTACAGTTGATTTCCACACCATTCTAGGCCAAGCTTAAGCTAGTTTTCTGAAGTAAATGCAATTTCTCGTGTGGCATATGAAAAAATTTCCAGCGTATACATTTGAATATCTTCCTTTCTGTTTGGAAAACAAAAACAAAGTCACCACATAGCCATTCGTTTATTTTCTCTTTGTGGCTTGTTTTGTGTCTAATTTACTTTAAATTCTTTTACAAGATATCTGTATAGATTAAATTGCTTGCAACTGTTTTCACAGGACTGTATTTATCTCTATGTGGGCAAAAACACAAGCAAGAGTTAAGACTCATCCATAAGACAGACAAGAAATATTCCAGAAAAGCAGACCACTTAAATTGAGTGTGTATATATTACTGTTATTACAGTGGGTTTTATGGAACATTGTTGGCATTATATACACACTAAGAAACAAGTATGATCATAATCTCTAATTCCATTTAATTAATATTTAACTATTACCTGTGACTCTGAACCCAATTTAGCTCTTATCCTGAAAATACAAACACACACCAAGCATATGTTTCTTGTGCGTACAGCCATTAAGCATGCTGCAACTCCTTATACAGGATGAAAATATAGTATTCTTAGGGGATTTCTTTCTGTTTTTAATTTGGGAGCATTTCAGACTCATTGCTTTCTAGTTTTATACTGTGAGAGACAACAATACAGCCCAGAGAACTGAAAACAGTTTGAAAGCATCTATATTGTCTGTTGTGCTATTTTTGTTCGCAGCATTATCTCTGATCAAATAGATGTGTCATAGTTTTGCAAGACTACAAAAGTGACATGAATATATTTACCATGCATAGCAATCTCTCTTTCAAACTGCCTTTAGTGTTATACAAATACAAATATCCACCTCCAACTAGTCCTCCTTCCATTTAAACTTATAAACTTTATATTGAACTGGTCAACATTTTAATTGGCTTTCCTTCTGTGCCTCGCCCTTGCATTTAGATGATGTTGTTGCTGTTTATTATTATCTTTATTTATATCCTGCCTTTCTCCCCATGGGGACTCAAGGTAGCTAACATCTACCCACACTAAAAGTTTAAAAAGAGCAATACAAAAGTTAAAAAAAAAAAAACCAATTAAATAACAGTGTAGTAAAAACAGAATTAAAATACAGCAAATACATTAAAATGGCCTTTAAAACCCATATCCTCCCTCCCAATCCCCCCAATAGATGTTTAGCAGGTGAAACTTTTCAATATGAACATAAAGTTATAAGAGTCCCTTTCACGGATTCACAGCCAAACAGAAAATAAGCAATGTAGTTTGAAAACAATATTAGTAATAAAGTCTGCTACATCTTATTATATTTTGCTGTAATGACAGAAAACCCTTGTTTCACTTATTAAATCTCTTTCTTTAGGCTGAAATTTCACTGATGCCTTTATCTCACTTTGAGGACCATGAAGCTCTGCTTCCGGTAAGTTACATTCCTTCTCTTTGGGATTTTAAAAATTGAATTGCCATAGTCCTATATAAAATGGGAAACCAAACTAAGGCCCCTTCTACACTGCCATATAATCCAGATTATCAAAGCAGATAAACCACATTATCTGGTTTGAACTGGTCTGAGTCTACGCTGCTATATAATCCAGTTTAAAGAAGATAATCTGGATTTTATATGGCAGTGTAAAAGGAGCCTCAGTTTCAATGAGAAATGTTTCCAATATTTCCACTATTTAAATTGCTCTCCTAATTGTTCAGTAACAGCTTCCATGGTAGGTGTTAAGAGTATTTTAGCCCTGCCTTTATCACAATTATTATTTTTTGCTATAATCAGATGTAGCAACTCCTGTGATTGCTATATGTAAATATATGCAAATTCTTCTATGTAGTTTCCATTCATTTGAGTTGCTAACATTCTATGGAGTTCAATCAGGAATTAATATTGTGCATAATAATACCATGTCAGTTGCTTGATTCAGAAACTCAGTGTGCATATTACACCATTTTAAGGAGTTTGTCAAAATACCATATTAGAAATAAAATACTATAGTAATTGCAGCACAAACTAAATGAAGCAAACAAATCTCACCAGACAGCCAAGCACTTTTCTGTATAGGTACATTTTGAAGCCCTTTCTATAGGCTGGGACTAATAGGTACAAAATAGCACTATCTCTGCAGTTCTATTTTATAACTATTAGTAAATGTAGTAGTAGTAGTAATAATAATAATAATAATAATAATATACTTTATTTGTATACCACCCTTATCTTATTTCTATTTATGATGGAACCTAAAGCAAGATCTATACTACAATACTTATTTTCTAACTGTATCAATTAGCCATAAATATTGCAAATTAGTTCTACTATCCCATTGCTTCAACTGCTTTTAAGATGTCCCAGTTTCTCCATGCTCCTCCCACTTTCCTCATTTGTCTTACTTCCATTGGTGCAAACTGAGTATAAATTGCAAGAGTGATTATGCTCAGTTCGCTCAATAGTCAGGAGAGGATAATCTTGTCCTTCCTTGTAGACTCCAGGAAAGACAAACTGCTGCAGCCTGTTTTTTAGCTTGCCTGTTCTTGCCATTTTAACCAAACTCTGATCTTGCTTGTGCACAGTTTTCATCTGTGAAATGTTGGTAAGTATACATTTAACAAATCACATAGAAAGGGAGAGAGGGGGGGGGGGGGGGGGGAAAACACTCAGCTGCTGGTGATTTCCTTTGAATGGTTTGAGTTGCAAAATTCAACAAGCCACAAAGTCTGCAGGAGACACGAAGACCCCAAAATTAAAAAGGGGTGTATTCATACAGAGATTTGTAGGTTAATTGGTACATTCATTTTTACTACATTAGTTTGAAAGAAATCCCAGCTTTTAAAATTGTCCTATATTCCTGTTAGGTTAACTTGTGATTACTGTGATAGCTTTGGAAAATATTGATAACTGGGCAGTGTTTACAGCCTTCTCATTCTTAGAGGGACTCCCTGATAGTCTCCTCTTATAGGCATTGTACAAACTGAGCCTTGAAAATAATGAAACCTCATTACTTCCTTAGCGCAATAGGTTTGTGTGCATGTGTTCTTGTAACACTCGTGCTGCAAGCTTACATGTATTTAAAGAAGTATGCCTAAATTAATAATTACATACACACAGGCCTGTAGCCAGGATTTTGATTCGGGGGGTGCTGAGTTTGATTCGGGGGGGGGGGGGGGGGGCTGAGGGTCTACCCTAGCAAACCTTTTGTATCGTTACCCCAATACCCCCATGCATATGGGATATATTGAGCATGGTGATAAGATCATGATATGAATAAACATAACAGTTTAAATAATGTACCAGTAAGGCTTTCTCGTGGACCACCCTGAGAATTTGGGGGGGCGGGGCTGAAGCCCCTCAAGCCCCCCCCCCCCCGGCTACATGCCTTCATACACATATCTTCCTGTCCCTAAAAGAAGAAGGGATCTTGGGGTGAATTAAAGATGTGTTATGTAGAAATTAAGAAGTCTTTGGGTCATCTTAAGAAATTTAAGTTTAGTACCACCCAAAGAAAACGGTGAAAGACAAATGTGAGAAGTCATATATTTTTACTGATATAACACCTATCTGTACCTAGCAAAATGGTTGCTAACCACTTCTTTCATCTCTTTGAAGTGAGCTAATTATTACAGATACATTTATTAGTTGTACAGTATTTATAGCCTGCCTTTCCTTCACTGTCCTGATGTTCTGTCTCTCCTTCTCAGTATAAGCAGAGAGAGACAGAGAGAGAGGCGCTGGCACAAGGTCACCCTGTTGATTTCATTGCTGAATGAGAATTCATTCATCCATTACATTTATTTACGCTCAAATGATGCACAATTGATACAGACACATTAAAAATGTCAAGTAAATAACTAAAAAGTGTCTCTTTAAAAAAAGCTTTTAAAAGTGGAGCAGATACATAATTTCATTTAGAAATGGATCCATAGTGAATTGGTGGTTGCGATCTTTCTTTCAGCAGAGGCAAGGTAGTAAGGAAACAAGTAATCATAGTCCATTGTTAAACAAGACACTTCATTTCAGCTTAATGCTGTTTTCAACCATTTACATAAAGTAGGAATGGTATATTAATGGCTCTCTGGGTATTGATCATCATTCCTCATTATTGGTTCTACCTTCTAAAACCAATGGGAGTTGCAATCCAGCAACAACTGAGGAGCTATAAGACCCCCACACCTGATTTAATGTCTCTCACACTTTTTCTATAGTTTTTTATTCGTGTCAGGAGTGACTTGAGAAATTACAAGTTGCTTCTGGTGTGAGAGAATTGGCCATCTGCAAGGACTTTGCCCAGGTGATGCCCGAATGTATGATGTTTTACCCTCCTGTGAGAAGCTTCTCTCATGTCCCCACACAGGGAGCTGGAGCTGACAGAGGGAGCTCAACCTGCTCTCGCTGGATTTGAACTGCTGATCTGTCAGTCAGCGGTCCTGCTGGCACAAGACTTTAACCTATTGCACCATGGGGGTCCTTTCTCTATATTTAAGGAGTAGCTTATATGACAAAAGAGCAATTGTCTCTCCCAGCAGTTTCCTGCTGGGGAGAGAGGTAAAATTTTCCCCTTTTCTCTCTTCTCCTTCTCTGTATCTCCCACATTGCATGTCCCCCTCATAGCATACTAGGTGGCTTTCCATGTGTTCTTGGGCTGCAATGCCCATAAGCTTAACTCCAGCAACATCTGGCCTACCACTGCTGCCTCCCCATTATAGGACAATGACAGAAGGCCATCTACAAATAAGGTGATGGCTTCTGTGTATTACAGAGATCCCCTAGATATGCCCATGGAAGATCTTGTAAACCTTCCTAAATTACTTTGTTTTTAAGATGTTTAGAATCCCGGGCACTATTGCCTGGAAACTTGGAATTTTGCAGTATTCTGTGGAATGTTGGCATTCAAGAACCTGGAGTGCCAGAGTCACCATCATTCACAGCTAAAATGACAGTAAACTTTCCTTTACGAAGGTAGGCGCCGGTATTTTCAGGAATCATGAAGGCCATAGCTTGATGCAGCTGGAAATTTTTCTTTTTCAAGAATCACCTGCAGGTCTAGTGGTTGATACTGGAGGAAAGGCAGGATATAAACCATGCTCAAGATGGGGTATGTGACTTTCCCCCACTTTATCTTCAAAATAATCTATAAGCAGGCCCGTAGCCAGGATTTTGATTTGGGGGGTGCTGAGTTTGATTCGGGGTGGGTGGGGGGGTGAGGACCTACCCTAGCAAACCTTTTGTATCATTATCTCAATACCCCCATGCATATGGGATATATTGAGCATGGTGATTAGATCATGACATGAATGAACATAAACGTTTAAATAATAAACCAGTAAGGCCTTCTCGTGCACCACACTCAAGCCCCCCCCCCCCCCCCCCGCGGCTACATGCCTGCCTATAAGGTAGATTAAGCTGAAAGAAGACAACTGGATTCAAGTTCAATGAGGGACTTGAACTTGAACTTCCTAAGTAATAGATCTGTGCTTAAATTTAGTTCTTAATTATCACAATATGATTGGTAATACTTTAAATTTGATGACTATCATCACTGAACTATACTGTTGCTTTGCATCAGTAATGTCCTTGTATAGTTCACTGGTTCAACTGCATTTTTGTCTATCAATTTCAAAGCAAGCTAAACATACCACTAACTATGAAATGGTGCATTTTTGTCATTTTTTCATCTGCCAATTTCCCATAATTATTTTATAATTTTTGTTGTTGTTGTTGACCTGCTTAGGCATGATTGCATAGTCATTAGATCCAATATGTATTCAAAAGATTGTGGGTGAAAGGATTCCTTTTCCTAAACCCTTAGACTGGTCTGCATGGTAAAACTTTCACAAAAAGGAATATGATGATTACAAAGTCTGCATGTTAAAGCCACTTTTATGTAGTTCCAACTTTCAGTAACACTGTTTTTCTTGTTGTTTAATTAACATTGGAGTATGTTCACTGGCATTTAGGCAATTGTGATTTCACTTCTTGAAAATATGTTTCAGTTCAATTATCCCATCTTAAGTCATGTCTTATCACTAAGTAAGAAGCACATGCTAACAGCACTTCCAGTGCATTACTCTTTGTCTCCATAAAAGCAAGCACTAGTATGTTCAGGAAATGTAGCATATTCCCTAGAAAATAGATATATGATTGCAAGACCTTTACTATCCATGATGTGTTCTGTTCATTCAAGAACAGTATTGTCTTTCCACCAAAGAGATGATCGGTACCAGTATTAAATGTATCAAAATGTAATATGCTTATCTTGAGGAAACAACTGGCATAAGAATAAAGGCAATACTAATTCTTCCAGGTTGAATTTTGGTTGCTGTTATAGGCACACAACCATTCATTTTCTGGTCTTATGACATTTTGAGTTCGCTAACACCACAATTGTGGTGGACAATAATACTTGAACTCTAATGACTATAAAATAATGACAATTACCTCAATTTCATGTCATTTTGTGAAGAGTGTTTATGTGGCAAGAGATGTACAGTGGTCAGAATTCACAAAAAGAAGGCTTCCCAATCTAGTTTTTCATCTGTTTGTGATTGTGGATTGGTTTGTAATTTTTTTTGTTTAGATTCTGTCTGCCCAACAAATAATTCTGTGGTTCAGGACTCCATTGCTGGACTACAAAAGCACGTCTCTGTATTAAAACTATTTGTTGGTGGACATATGGGATATTCACCTGTATAATATCAAAGTAGTACAAAACAAGTAGTTAGGAAGAATGCAAAAATAATTTAAAGAGAGAATGTCGAGGAAATGGCAGTCATTCCAACAATGGTTTCTAGCAACTTGATGTTCAAAAATCCTAAAATAAATTTTTAAAAGTTCAGTCTGTTTTACAACTGAGAAAATACAAAAAAAAAGTGAAATCAAAGCAATAGACATTATAAAACCGCAGTTCAAACTTGGGAGGGAAAATATATAATTATAAGTTCAAAACAAGAAATAATCTGAGGGGGAAACTGTGTGGAGTTTTTTTAAAGGGCAACCATGTTTTTTTTTAAAGTTGGACAGAGATGTTAATGTGTTGTTATTGATGTGTCATTACTTTGTATATTATGCTGTTAATGGTTTTAAATATTGTATGTTGTACGATTGACTTTTTGCTCTTGTTGTGAACCGCGTTGAGTCGCCTACGGGCTGAGAAACTGCGGTATACAAGCAAAGTAAATAAATAAATAAATAAATAAATAAAATAAATTATCATACCTATTCATTCACAGGTCAGCAGTTGCAAATTATAATCAGTAAAGTCAAGCATGTGAGTTCAGTATAGGTTTACCTAATTGATATCAACAAATGTGACCTTCAGCAAACAGGTAGTGTTGCCTGTCGACTTCAGGTGACCAATGAATTTCACAGGGTTGTCTTAAGCAAAGAATATTCAGAAGTGGTTAGCCATTACTTTTCTCTGAAATATAGCTGACAGGTACTATCTACAACAAAGTGCCAGTCACACAATCCTCTCAAATTAACAATTTCTCTGCCACCCATTTTCCAGGCTTCCTTCTGCAACATTCTGTGGCTGCAAAGCATGCTTCAGTTCTCATCATTTTGGGTCCCCTTGCCATTTGCTTTTTTCCCTTTTCTAGCCAAATATTCATACTTCAGCAAATGACATCTTCACTGTGCCTGGTGAACTGCCTTTCTTGTTTTTGTTTTCATGTCAGGAGCAACTTGAGAAACTGCAAGTCACTTCTGGTGTGAGATAATTGGCCATCTGCAAGGACGTTGCCCAGAGACACCCGGATGTTTGATATTTTACCATCCTTGTGGGAGGCTTCTCTCATGTCCTCACATGGGGAGCTGGAGCTGACAGAGAGAGCTCAACTCGCTCTCCCTGGATTCGAACTGCTGGCCTGCCAGTCATCAGTCCTGCTGGCACAAGGGTTTAACCCACTGTGCCACCAGGGATCCTTCTTGTTGCTAGATGGTGATGTCCTGCCCATGGAAGCATCTGAGCACTAGATAGAGAGTAGGAAAACATATAAATGTTTTATAATGGATCTAGGTTATTTGAAACAAAATAAAAACAGAATAAAATCAAGGAACACTGTAGAAAGTTGCATAATATAGACAAAGAACTATTTGAACGAGGAAGGAAAAATCTCCTAAATTCAATAAATTATAAGCAACTGTGCCCTCATTTAAAAATGTAAACCATTTAAGAATGTAGGAGTAAGAGAGAACTCCATTCAAATTTGATTTAACTAAAACAGATATAAATATTGAACCAAAGCAGCTACTAAAGATGCAAAAAGAAGGGGTACTGGAAGTGCGGGAAGGGGGAAATCTAATTCTTAAATTAGAAAGTAGGCATAGACCTCAAGGAAAGGCGCAGTGGGATTCATTCTGTTGAGGCTTCCCCCAGAGTCCCTGAGTGAGAGCAACTATGTGTGACAGGAAAGAACAACTGGAGTTATTTAGGTGAGGGCACAATATGGTGATTAATATGTTTAATCTGGTGATTGGTAACTTTGTTACTGGTTTTGTCTGTACATGCCTTTGCATGAATTTTAGGGGAGTGGGGAGGAATAGGATACCATCATTAATGTGATCCTGGGTGGAAGAAGATATGGTAATGTGGCTTGGCCATGCTAGATAAGGGGAAAGTTGGATACACAATTGACACCTATGCTGTGCTTAAGTCCTTCTGCATTCTTCAGGATGCAGGTTGCCCTTTCATCCCACCCTCAGTTCTATTGGTGCTTCTGTTGATTGGTAGGTCAATCAAACAACTACCATCAATTACCTAACTATGAATGAAGAGTCTGACTGAGAGTGGGATTTTTTTTTGTCGTGTCAGGAGCGACTTGAGAAACTGCAAGTCGCTTCTAGTGTGAGAGAACTGGCCGTCTGCAAGGACGTTGCCCAGGGGACGCCCGGATGATTTTGATGTTTTTATCATCCTTGTGGGAGGCTTCTCTCATGTCCCCGCATGGGGAGCTGGAGCTGATAGAGGGAGCTCATCCACCTCCCCCCTGATTCGAACCTGTGACCTGTCAGTCTTCAGTCCTGCCAGCACAGGGGTTTAACCCACTGTGCCACCGGGGGCTCCTGGAGAGTGGGATGAAAGAGCTTGGGTCAGTGATGTTTCCCACCTTTGTCCACCTGGGTACATGCACCACCCATCCTACTACCCAGTGGTCTCTGACTAAATTGGCCAATGTACTTCAGTAAAATACAATGAAAAGTATTTAAACAAGGAAATGCATGAGGATCCTTCCAACAAGGTGCCTGGTGGTACTAGCTCAAGTAGGAAGGGCATTCAAGAAAGCAAGACTCATGCTTGTCCTGAAGCCCTTCCAATAAGGGAGTTGTGGCAAAGCCAAATAGGAAGATTGTCTTGTTTGTTAAATGGAAAGTTATCCTAAAGAGAGCAGTCAAGGCAAAAGTGTTCAATCCAGTGTGGTTTGAAAATCAAATTTTAGAAAAGTTATTTTGAGGGGCGGGGAGCAGATACCAGATTATCTAGCTAGCATGTTCCAAAAATTATTTTTTTCCAAGGGAAAAAAATTAAGATGATGTATACATAGTAGAGGAAAGATGTATATGTGAACAGTTGATTCAGTTGGCTGTTTTCTCTGTCCAGTTCCCAACCAAATGGGATTTTGTCCTAGTCTGTGACGATCACCACCCCTACAGTGAGAAGTATCACAAGAAGAAGAGGTTTCTTGAAGAACTGCACAGAAAAGGCTTCATTATTAAGGTAAAACTGACATATTCTCGAGCAAGTATGATACCTGATTCCTATGTTTCTCCTTGTTGAAGAAGGATGCCCGGTCCCTCTTTTCATTTTGATAAGAGATTTGAACCTCTTTCCTGGCCAAGAAAGAACTGGTGCAAATAGTTTGTTTAGAGAGCAGGGAAGGCCAGCTTCTTGAATATTCAATATGGTCTCTGTATCTATAGGACATAGATTCCTGAACTTTTTGTAGAAACAAGAAAATATGGATAATAGCGAATGCTATTGAAATGAATGACTCCTGCAGGATGTTGCCACAGAGTTGACCTGTTACAACACACTGGCCTGGTTTTATTCTCTTCATTGTTGTTTATTTTTCTTAATGTCTCTGATTCTTAGATGATTCAAGACAAAAAGCTATTTTATGGAATTAATGCCCCAAGTGGACTTTTCCGAAAATATCAGTGGCTTTTGAAGAATCCGGACAATGCACCAGAAGTTCTATGTGAACAGCAACAAGAGGAAGAGCTGGGAGTACACATTTCACCTACAACAAGGTAAAAAAAAGAAGAACCTTCCCTCAAACATTGTCATCTATTGTATGTGTTAGCCACTCCATAGAAGCCATTGCAAATAGCAATTTTTAGAACTGGTTTTTGTCAGTAGAGACAGAATTTTTATTATTTTATTTTTATTTACTATTTATTATTTGGTTTTTTCCTAAGTCCCTAGATAGGTAAAAAGAGGAGCAGTGGATTGCATCAGCACTCCCTGAAGACCTCCTTGAATACCATCTAAAGTAAATCTCTCAAAGAAATTTTCATGGTCACTTTTCTGTTGTATGATTTTTAACATCATTGATTAAGAATCAGTGAGCTTCAAAATCTAGAGTATTGCACTTTGGATCATTTGGTTTGCCTAATAAAGGTCCATTATTTTGGATTTTGTTGTATAGGGTGAGCCTCTGGAAATCCAAAATCTGAAATGCTCCAAAAACTGAATATTTTTGCCACTGAAAGCCTATTTCTGTCTTTTGATGAGGACCCTTAGGATATTCATGTAGAAAAACTGGTGAATTGTCAGTAATAATGTTAGGAGGATTCACAATTGTTTGATCAAGTGAACCCAGAGAGTGCTCACCAATGGTTCTCTTCATCCTAGATAGAAGTAACTAGTGAAGTGCTTCAGAGTTATCTCCTGGGTCCATTATGATTCAACAACTTTATACATGACTTTTAGATGATGGAATAGAAGACATGCTTATCAGATTTGCAGATGACACTGTATTAGGAACAACATTTAGGTCAGAATAATGTAATCCACAATCATAGGAATGACATCTGGCTTGAAAGCAATTGGATCCAAAAGGATTTAGGTGTCTTTGAAGATGACGTCTGAAATGTACATCAAACAGCTTTTCCAAAGACTACAACATGAACCAATGGATTTGAATTACAAGCAAAGATATTCCATCTAAACTCTCCTGCTTTTCACAATGAAATACCTTGCCTCAGAGTGTGATAGACTCTCCAGTTTTGGTGATCTTTGAAGAGAGGCTGGGTGGATATATTCAATGAGTTTAGTTGGGTATTCCTGCATGGCAGTGGTTGGACTGAATAACCATTGTGATCCCTCAAGGATAGATGGTGTGATTTGAACCGAAATGAACAATGTCTTTACAATATCAGACCTATATCTTAAATCTTCTCCTGAAGGTGGAAGAAAAGGGTTATATGGATTTTTTTAAAAATTTCAAAACTGCAAAAACCTCAAAGCTAGTATGATAAGTTCAAAGCTATTTGACTTTAAAATACAATTTTAAAATAGATGCAGATGCCTTTGTCAGTCACTGCAGCGCCTTTGTACTTGGTAGCTAGAATACTAAAAGGTGGGAAGCTAACTGCTTGCTGAGCAACTGAATTTCTGCCTGCATTTGTAAGTTATAGAGAAAGAAATAGATCTAGACTTGTACTAAACATGAGGGTGAATCTTCAGAGGAGATCATTGCAATATCCCCAGGGGACTGAAGTTTGACATTCACTACTAGGGCTAATGTCCAAGGTAAAGTCTTGTCCACCCTAAAGGGAAACATTATATAGTGTTCGACTAGAGCAGTGGTTCCCAACCTTTGGTGTTTTGGACTTTTGCTCCGACAATTCCTAATAGCTAGTTAGCTGGCTGGGATTTCTGGGAGTTGAAATCCAAAACACCTGTGTTAAAACAGGACCAAAAGTTGGGAACCATTGAACTTGGACCAAGGCCCAAATCCCCACTCAGCCATGGAAACCTACCGGGTAGTCTTGAGTAAATCACACTTTATTGTGTAAGATGAAGGCAGTGGCAAAACTCCTCTGAAGAAATTGTGGAAGAAAATGCCATCATAGAGTTTCCTTGAGTTGGATTGACTTGAAAGTACACAACAACAACAACCACAACAATAACAAAAGAACTCTTGCCATGTGAATGTAATGCTAGATAACAGCTTCCTTGTCAGTTAATACTCCACCCACCTTTGGAAGTTCTGCATGTTCATCCTTTCCTTTCACTGTACGATCAGAACAAATTAGGGCTGCAGATACCTTTTAATCCTTTCAGGTGCATGATTGTAGTCCGATAGTTGAAAGGATGCCTGCATTAACTGTTTCCTGGCATGGATAAAAACTATTACTGTTTCTTGGTCAATTAAGAGTTTATGCCTAATTCCTGATGGTTTCATGTTTTAGGATACGTATTGTCAGCTTTATTCTGGAGAACACTGAAATTGATAGCACTAAAGGTATGGACAGATTTTTTTTATCTCTGTATGCCACCATTCATGTATTTTCCTCTGCCTGTTTGCAGTATTCCTCTTATAGGAACAAAAGTGCTTAAAATTACAATTTTATTAAACAAACAAGATATATGGAAACATTTCCTTAGGCCCTTTCATATGATTGTGGTTAGCACTCAAATAAGTGCTTGTTGTAAATTCACCTTGAGTCCGCCTCCCCCCGCCCCCCCCCATAGTGAGAAGGACGGGATACAAATGTACGAAATAAATAAATAAATAAAAATTGCATGTAAGAACGGACATTGTGGTGAGCATTGGTAAAACAATCATGTAGCTCATCACCAGTTTGTGATAAGCTACAGTCCTTTTTTTAAAAAATAAAAAGGTTACCTTTTATGTTTTTCTTGAGATCACTGCTCACTTTGCAGTGTGTGTATCCTGATGTAGTAAGCTGCAGTGCGAAAATTTGCCACTAGAATGCTCAAGTTCAAATCCCCACTCGGAACTACCCATTTTGCAATTTATTTCTTTAGACCATGGAGGAGGAGACTCTGGTTAAGGCTGTTTTTCCCAGTCTAGTATTCTCAAGCTGTTTTGGATTACAATCTGCATCAATATTTGCCAATATGGCCAATTGGCAGAATGATGGGGATCATATCTGAACAACAGCTAGAGCAGCGGTTCTCAACCTGGGGGTCGCGACCCCCCGGGGGGTCGTTTGGCCATTTTCTGGGGGTCGCCAAGCCGCATTGGCTAGCCACGCCCCCTCCAAAATGGCGGCCGACCCACAAGTCAATTGTACTGATAGGCTGCTCCTCCTGATCTTCCCAGAGATCTGTGGATAGTCAGGAGGAGAAACTTTGGATGAAGAAGACTAACCATTTGGATGAAGAAGACTCACCTCTGTTCCGGGCTAAAGGGTGAATAAACGTCGATCCGCCCAAGATGGAGGCGAGGGGCGGGCGGGAGACTCCGGTGGCGCTAGGTCACAGGCAGAGCCTCCCGCCCGCCTCCCGTCTCCTTCAGCTGGAAGATGGAGGCGAGGAGCGGGTGGATGGCTCTGCCTGCGGCCTAGTCGCCACTGGAGCATCCCGCCCGCCTCCCGTCTCCTTCTGCAGCTTGAAGATGGAGGCGAGGGGCGGGCGGGAGGCTCCGGTGGCGCTAGGCCGCAGGCAGAGCCATCCACCCCGCTCCTCGCCTCCATGTTCCAGCTGAAGGAGACGGGAGGCGGGCGGGAGGCTCTGCCTGCGGCCTAGCGCCACCGGAGCCTCCCGCCCGCCTCCCGTCTCCTTCTGCAACTTGAAGATGGAGGTGAAGGGCGGGCGGGAGGCTCCGGTGGCGCTAGGCCGCAGGCAGAGCCTCCCGCCCGCCTCCCGTCTCCTTCAGCTGGAAGATGGAGGCGAGGAGCGGGCGGAGGGCTCTGCTGCGGCCTAGTCGCCACCGGAGCCTCCCGCCCGCCTCCCGTCTCCTTCTGCAGCTTGAAGATGGAGGCGAGGGGCGGGCGGGAGGCTCCGGTGGCGCTAGGCCGCAGGCAGAGCCATCCACCCGCTCCTCGCCTCCATCTTCCAGCTGAAGGAGACGGGAGGCGGGCGGGAGGCTCTGCCTGCGGCCTAGCGCCACCGGAGCCTCCCGCCCGCCTCCCGTCTCCTTCTGCAACTTGAAGATGGAGGTGAAGGGCGGGCGGGAGGCTCCGGTGGCGCTAGGCCGCAGGCAGAGCCTCCCGCCCGCCTCCCGTCTCCTTCAGCTGGAAGATGGAGGCGAGGAGCGGGCGGGAGGCTCTGCCTGCGGCCTAGTCGCCACCGGAGCATCCCGCCCGCCTCCCGTCTCCTTCTGCAGCTTGAAGATGGAGGCGAGGGGCGGGCGGGAGGCTCCGGTGGCGCTAGGCCGCAGGCAGAGCCATCCACCCGCTCCTCTCCTCCATCTTCCAGCTGAAGGAGACGGGAGGCGGGCGGGAGGCTCTGCCTGCGGCCTAGCGCCACCGGAGCCTCCCGCCCGCCTCCCGTCTCCTTCTGCAACTTGAAGATGGAGGTGAAGGGCGGGCGGGAGGCTCCGGTGGCGCTAGGCCGCAGGCAGAGCCTCCCGCCCGCCTCCCGTCTCCTTCAGCTGGAACATGGAGGCGAGGAGCGGGCGGGAGGCTCTGCCTGCGGCCTAGTCGCCACCGGAGCATCCCGCCCGCCTCCCGTCTCCTTCTGCAGCTTGAAGATGGAGGCGAGGGGCGGGCGGGAGGCTCCGGTGGCGCTAGGCCGCAGGCAGAGCCATCCACCCGCTCCTCGCCTCCATCTTCCAGCTGAAGGAGACGGGAGGCGGGCGGGAGGCTCTGCCTGCGGCCTAGCGCCACCGGAGCCTCCCGCCCGCCTCCCGCCTCCTTCTGCAGCTTGAAGATGGAGGTGAAGGGCGGGCGGGAGGCTCCGGTGGCGCTAGGCCCGTCTCCTTCAGCTGGAAGATGGAGGCGAGGAGCGGGCGGATGGCTCTGCCTGTCAGTTATGGCCAGTCAGTTATATTACATTTCTTACAGAGCAAAGCAAATAAACAGAAAATACAAAATGTGTGAGTTTGGTAGTTTATTAAATGTCCTTTGAACATCATCTGGCCCCTTGATGTTGCCGCAAGAAGGCTCTCCATGGTGCATGTGGCTGGGCTCAGGTTGCATTGCACCAGGTGGTCAGTGGTTGGCTCTTCTACACACTCACATGTTGAGGATTCCACTTTGTAGCCCCATTTCTGAAGGTTGGCTCTGCATCTTGTGGTGCCAGAGCGCAGTCTGTTCAGTGCCTTCCAAGGCACCCAGTCCTCTGTGTGCCCAGGGGGGAGTTTCTCATTTGGTATCAGCCATTGGTTGAGGTTCTGGGTTTGAGCCTGCCACTTTTGGACTCTCACTTGCTGAGGTGTTCCAACTAGGCCACAGGCAGAGCCACCCCCCTGCACCTCGCCTTAACAGTTACAAAGTAGCAACATATATAATTTTATGGTTGGGGGTCACCACAACATGAGGAACTGTATTAAGGGGTCACGGCATTAGAAAGGTTGAGAACCACTGAGCTAGAGGATCATATGTCTTTCCCTTCTTGTTGAAGACCTTAAGGGTGATCACCAGTTCTTGAACTTTATCCTGAAACATATAAAAGTGGAGTGAACCTGTAAAATCTTCACAGATGCCTTTTAAACCACATAAAAATTTCTAGACTTTCTACGAAGGCAGCTTCACTTTCTAATAACAATTTCAATTCTACCATAAAAAGTGCTTTCTTTAGAAACTGATGCACCTGTTCCATAGCTGAGGAGGATAATGATAATGATAATAATAAAAATAACAACAACAACAACAGAAATAGAAATAAATGCATAATATTTACTCTTGATATTTCCCATCAACTGAGGGTCTCAGAGTCAGACTGGATCTTGGGACAGCTGTAAACATGAATTTTCAAAAGGGGACATTACCCCATAAAAAAAAGCCATATGTATACAATCAGTTGTATGTAACTGTGTTATTGAATTTGCTGTCAGTATTTTCTGCATGGAACTTGGCTACTCAAATCCAGATTTTAAAAAATAAAGTATAAACTACTCAGCCATTGAATTTTACCTCTCAGTCTGATCTAACTTGCAGGTTAATGTGAAGCCCAAATAAAATCTGCTCCTTGGTGGAGGGTATATGTAACTCATATAAGATTCATTTTTTAATTCATGTGGCTTATGAATGTGGTTTTTTTGCTGCTTCATTTTAGGATAGCCATAGAAAATATATGTTTTTAAAATTATTTACACAGCATTGGAAGAGTTTTTAATCATTATCTTCCTATTTCTGCTTTGATATTAGAGAAACTTCATGACTTGATAAAGAAGAAAGTATTTGAAACAGCATTTCCTTTACATGAGGTGAGAAAATCTGAGGGCCAAGCTACATGTTATGGTTGCATAAATTAAATTAATAAGCAAATTTTAAACTGTTAACAGAAACTTAAGAATTGCAAGGAGTAGAGAGAGTCTTGAACCCTCTCCCCGCAGTCATGGTTTGCCCCATCAACACCACAAGAGGCTTTGTGTTCCATCAATTCTTTTGGTGAAAAATAGATACCTAATAAAATACAGCTGAAAATAAATATTAAAATGGCTGAATATGGCCAACAGGAAAAAATATTATTTTGGAAGATGTGTTAATATTTCTGTTGAATATTTTCTAGATGCTTGCTATTCAGCCCTTTCAAAATGTCTCAAGGAGCATGTATATTTGGAAACTTAGTGAGTGGTCACTGTTTTCCCTTTATGAGGATGAATATTGCTCATAGCAGCTATTTTATAGTTTGTTGAGTCTTTTAATATTTTTAATTGATAGGGGTTTATTGTTTTATGTGCAATGGGGTTAATATTATTGTTATTAATTTAACCTTTTATATTTTGATGTATGTGTTTTGTGTGGTGCGACTGAGTGTATCCTGTGAGCCGCCCCAAGTCCCTCCAGAGAGATGGTGGTGGGATACAAATTATTATTATTGTTATTGTTATTGTTATTGTTACTGTTACTGTTACTGTTATTATTAGATTGTTAAGAGTTGTAACTTCTGAAATCATATTGTATCCAGAGAGAACATCTGGGAAAATTCTTGAAAATTAACTGGGCCCGATGGAGAGATATCCTTTATCCGCAACCAATTGGGAAAATCAGGTATGGCATAATCTTTAATGTTAGCAGTCATTGTGAGGATATTCTGAAGTTCAAATGTTGGAACTAAGTGTTTTAATGTATTTATATACTTTTCAAGTTCAAATTTAGGACAGACATAAAAGCAAGGAATTAAAAAAACATTTTTTTAAAAAAAACCCTAGGCTTTGTTTTTAAAAATTAAGCCAGCACTTATCACTTTTGTGGGGTATGTTGCAGCATTTAATTATTAGAAATTGTCACACAGTGACCCTAGTGTTTTACTTTTAAGGATAGCCGCTTTGAGGATCACATGCATCTAAAATAAAGGATTTATATCTGGAATAGGCACAGTTGACATGGTCTTACATCTGTGTTGTATCAAATCAAGGAATTTTTTTCAGAAAATATTTTCAAGTTTCTATGTTTTTATTTCAGGACATATTTTGGGGAGAAAATTGCCCTTTATTTTGCCTGGTTGGGTTGGTATACTCGCATCCTATTCTTTGCAGCCCTGCCAGGCATTTTCCTTGTCATATATGGGTTCTACACCTTCAGTAGCGGCCAAATCAGGTTAGTGATCAGGATTACAAAAGATATTTTCTTCATGGCAGTCAGTGAGGTACATGCAAGACACCTGTGCATACAAGATGTACATGAATATTTGCATATTTTGGTGTGAATAGTTTTGTGAGCCTGGGGAATAGGAGCACCTCCATAATAAAATGTAACCTTGTGCCATAACAATAAATACGTTTTGATTTATTTGGCCTTATGGAATTCCTCCAATGGTTTTTGGTCTTGTATATGAGCAGTTTGTAAGGCTGTAGTTTTTGCTTGAGAGATTAAGAAGGAATTGTTTTGCCAGGTAATGGGTTGTCAAGCTTGCTGAAATTAAATTGAACTGGTTCTACTGAGCATCTCGATTTAAAACCCACTATGAAACTATGCATGTTCTGTCTTGATATCATCAAGGCAAGGACGAAGAACCTTTTCCCCTCCCAGTGTTTTGGGTAACAGGTGTAATTCCTTATGTTTGTTATGAGTTAGTCCAAAGCCAGAGTTCTCCACCATAAGCAAGCAGATTTGCAATCTTCGTGGTGCACCTATAATACCTAACTTATGCCTTGTTTTAATATTTTGACTATATTTCTACTGATATGTTAACCCCTGAAAGGCAGCCAGTAAAATAAAAATTATTTATCCTATAGTGCCAAAATGTGTTATATAAGTTGACCTAATGTTGGCTTGCTACGAAAACAAGAATGTGGCATTGCTCAGTATGATGCTTACCAAAGAATGGACAATGATGAGGGGAGGGCTTTGGTAGAAACTGCAATCAAAGCAACTGATTGGTGTGTTTGTATGTCTGACTGTGACCACATAGGCTTTGATTTCAGTAGCTTTTGGGTACAACTCTGTCTTTGATCTTTTGTTGAATAGGTTTAATAGTGAGATGATCAAGCATAAACCTTTCTGCCTTTCTTGATATAGCAAAGAGATTTGTGCTGCCAACACCACTATAATGTGCCCGCTTTGTGACCAGAAGTGCCCATTTTGGCCCCTGTCAGACACTTGCACGTATGCCAAGGTAAGAACTGCACAAAACTTTATTTTCCCCTTATCATGTCCTTATAAGTACAATTTGGAATTGTCAAGGAAACAAAACGTTTACTGTTGGTTGTAGTTCCTCTGTGAAGATAATATTACAATATAATGGTATAGTGCAATATAGTAATGCTATATTGCACTATACCTATGCTAATAATATAATATTTTGTATGAAAATATATATTGTGAGCCGCTCTGAGTCCCCTTCGGGGTGAGAAGGGCGGCATATAAATGCCGTAAATAAATAAATAAATAAGATTTAAAAGTCCTAGTCAAAGACAGTAGTAATGTTCTGCCTTTGTCTGCTCTTCCACCCTTTTCTGATAATCTCATGACTTATTTTTTCTATGAGTAAGTTTTTAGCACCATACGCCATTCTCTTGCAATGATGACTTTGACTCTTCTTTCCTTTACCATTCAGGTTACCCACTTGTTTGACAACAGAGGGACAGTCCTCTTTGCAATCTTCATGGCAGTTTGGGGTAAGCTTGAGCTTGGGGTGATCTATTCTAAGTTTGAAGGAGAAAAATATTTTCGTGCTTCACTGTTGACTGAAATCGAGTCCTTGGATTGTGTAGGAGTTTTATTATACATTTGGCATGTCTGCAAATTACAATAATAAGTTTTAAAAGTTACCTGTTCTGTATTGGAGCCTAGCCAAGACCAGAAAGTGAGATGTGATAGAAAGTTAATGTGGCTGCAATTAATGATATACACTATTTAGCACTAGCAAATTGTATTTTTAAAATTATTTGCATTTATTTTATTACTTTATTGGCATTTGAGAAGTGAGATGCCTGTGAGAAAGGACAAGAAAATATAATGCCAGAAAACACAGTAATGGCAGTTGCTGTAATATCTTAAATATTGCTTTTAGTCCTTTTAGGATTAGGTTCATAATACTTCACAAACCTTTTTCACACTGATCCCTGTTTCAGTGTGACAAGTGCACAAAAACTGATATTTTCACACATTACCTTTAATATCAATAGGTTGATACTGTTTCCTACTTTTGACTTTTCACAGTCTGGCTCTTTTCTCCATCCTCCATATTTTTTCATGCCCCACTTTCATTTATGGATGTAGCCTGGGAAATTTTGAGTTACATAATGTTGACATTCGGACTTGCTCTTGGTTTCAATTTTTTTTGATACCAGAAAGATAGAATTGTTGTTACAGACTTTTTTCTTTTTGCCACTGTCCACGATTTAGCACATTGTGAAACTGAATGGATCATTGCTATTTGCTTTTTAGCACATGCCCATTAATATATAATGTGGAAAAGCCAACACTTTCAAAAGTTACCTAATATTAATATATTTAGGTCTCCTTTAATTTGGAATCTCTGATTCCTTTATATATTATCTGTATTCATCTTTTTGGAAGTCAGTTTTTCTCTATTTGCTATATAGTAGACTGAATTGAAGACTTCTGCAGAGTAGCTGGGAGGGAAGATTCCTACATAGATATTCAGTGTTATATATAGGTAAAGTGTCCCTTATCCAAAGTACTAGGGACTAAAAGTGCTTTGGATTTTGTGGTTGTTGTTGTTGTTGGTTTTGTTTTTTTTTAATTTTGGATTATTTACATACACATAATGAAGTGTCTTGGAAATGGGACCTAAGACTAAACATGAAATTCATATATAGTTGTACACAACCTGCACATGTATCCTGAAAGTAATTTTATACACAATATTTTAAATCTTTTGTGCATGAAAAAAAATGCTTGTGTACACTTTTTTTTTCTCTTGTCAGGAGCGACTTGAGAAACTGCAAGTCGCTTCTGGTGTGAGAGAATTGGCCGTCTACAAGGACATTGCCCAGGGGACACCTGGATGATTTGATGTTTTTATCATCCTTATGGAAGGCTTCTCTCATGCCCCTACATGAGGAGCTGGTGCTGATAGAGGGAGCTCATCCGCTTCTCCCCGGATTCGAACCTGTGACCTGTCGGTCTTCAGTCCTGACAGCACAGGGGTTTAACCCACTGTGCCACTGTACACTGAGCCATCAGAAAGCAAAGGGGTTACTATCTTAGCCAATGCAGTGGACAGTTTTGGATTTTGGGGCATTTCAGATTTTGGGATTCTAGATACTTTGCCTATAATTTGTTTTTCTCTCTAAATGTACAGCCACTGTGTTCTTAGAACTGTGGAAGAGACACAGAGCTAGAGTTGTCAGTGATTGGAAACTCTACTGGTGGGATGAAGAAGAGGTAAAGTTTACTTAACACCTGCTGCCATCTTTATTTCTGTTGACCAGTGTACCAGTTATAACTGACTTAAATGAACATCTCTCATTGTTACTTATGGCTGTGAGGAAAACCTTTCTTTTGGCAGTTCTAGCATATAGCGTGCTAGTTCTTCTGTCCTGCTTGATGCTGTGGAGATAGCAGGGCAAAGCAGGGAGCTTTGAGTCCATGGGGCTTGGGAAATGGTCCCATCCAAGGAAGTGGAGGATTGAGTTGAGCACTCAAGGCTGCAGCTCAGTTGCCTTGTTCCTTTCTTGCTTTTCCTGTGCAAGATAGACAAGAGATAAATAAATCTAGAAGTTCAGGAATCGTCTCAGTTTAAATCTCATAATCGCTTGCCTCCTGAAGTACCATTTGAGGGTGCTTTACTTCTCTTACATCTCCTGCACCTGGGAAAGGACAAATGGAGAGAAACAAATTGGAAATTTCTTGTAAGGAGTCAACCATTTTAACTGGCCAATATACTGTTAGCAGGAGTGTTCTTCCATATGGCAGGATCTGAGGTCGCAAACATAGGAATAGACCCCTTCCTGTTTGTTTGAAGAGGCAATGCCCATCAAATGACTGGGCAACAAAAAGAAAATGTAAGGAATGATCTCAATATGTTCATATGGTTTGAAGGCATGGGGACCGCATATGCCTGGCTTGCAGATGAGAATTCATAGGAAGTGTTTTTGTTCACTGGGAATTTCTTACAATTGCAAACATTGTATGTGTATTTGGAGAATGTATTATGAAGGAAAAGGGTGTCCCACTAGATCTGGAGTGTGAGAGGTTAGGATGAAAAGCAATGAGCAATCTGGTAGTGGATTTTATTTGTAAACCTAAGCTAAAAATGTTCTCATACCCAACGTCACTGTCCTAAATGTAGTGTATGAAATTGAAGCTCAAGTAGCATTTCCACCATTTTTGGGGTAAGGTTTAAATAGGGCAAGGCAAATGCCAAATTTATCAAAGATAGCAGTCATATGCTTCTTTGTTCTAGGCAATTTGTGTGGCCAGAATAAGAGTGGAAAACAAAAACCTTATACCATCTCAAGCTTCAGTCATCATTGTACAGCTGTGTGTGATTGGCTATAGGGGGATGAAGTCATTAAGCCAAATTGGAGTGAGGAAATGAAGTCAAGATGGAATAAGGGTAATTGTTCTTCTGCTCTCTCTGGAATATTAATGCTTTTCCACAGGATAAATTATTGATCTTTTAAAATTTGTGTTTGTTTTTAAACATGGGTTTGAACTGTTTTATGTGCTTTTATGGTTTAAAATTTGTATTATGGATACTTTAAAATTGTTTTTGGGAGCAACCTTGGGTCTCACTCTAGAAGAAAGGCAGCATAAAATTGGAATAAATAACAACACCAACAATTCACAAGGAATTATGTTCATGAAACATTTTTCTTTGTAAAGAGAAAAATTGTGAACCTTTCTCTTGGCTTTTCATGGTAATTGAAAAGCATAATAAGGATCTGTCTTAAGCCTATATTTCTCTTTCTAGGAGGAGCTGGCCATGGAGCTCATTGACAGCCCAGAGCACGCCCTCCAGCAGTACCAGCATTCCTACATCCGTAGTACCATTGTGCTCATCTTGGTTATGCTAATGGTATGTGATTATATTTTTAGAGCACCTACATCTACATTTTAAACATTCACAGATTGATAATACAGTTGTAAGTCTTAGGTGAATATTGGTAAAGACACATTTGAGAAAGCAAATAGTTCTGATCTATTATTATTATTATTATTATTGTTATTATTATTATTATTATTATTATTATTATTTCTGGGTTGTCACATCTCTATAGAACAGCTTGGTAGGGTGAACTCCCCATTTGTTTTTTCCTAGTTTACTACAAGACCTGACAATGAAAATGTCCATGGATACCTCCAAATGAAGTGTGTGTGTCAGCAGAATAGAAATTAGGCAGATAGATGGATAATCCAGAGTGTCATTTTCAGTAATTTAGTGCCTAAAATTTAATTTTGTGGTCACTGTGATTATGGTGTCTTCAAGTATATTCTCATACATTTTAACACAACTCATTTATGTACATAGATAGATGTTTAGCTTCCATCCCACACAAGAAATGTGCTGTTTGCTCTACACACCCATTTATTTATGTGCTTATACTTTTTAGTAATACTTTAGTTCTCTCTATAACACCCTAGGAGTGATTGTTTCTTAGAGAGTGATGGGGACTAAGAATTGTATTAGAAATCTCCATAATTAAATTACAGTTTCCACAAGGGGCTAACTGTGATAGCCAGTCAAAAACTTTTAGTCACCAGAACCCTGCAATACAGAAGAAGATCAGGGACAATTCCCCGTTCCATTTATGTAGCTAGGAAAGGGGGGTATGGCAAAATCAATTTGGCAATTGGGCTGCAAATCCAAGATATTCCAAAGATCAGATACAAGATTTAGTTCTACCTTCTAGTTTAGAGCTAGACAAAGGATCAGAGATCATTTGCGCACTGGAAGTCAGCTACAGGTGCCTAAGAGAAAGGCTCGAAATGTTACTTATTTTGGACTGTAGTTTTCAGAATCTTCTCCTGCCTGGAAGCCATGTTGTCATATGTGGTTCAGTCCACATTCTGTCTGGGGCTTGGGTCAGTGTTTTGTGTTTCCAAAATGCTCCAAACAGCAACAGTACAGAAACAACAGTCCTGGGCTAGAAAAGAGAGAGTGAGCTTATAAAGTATAGCACTGTGCTTGCAAAGGATGCAAAGCATCTAGTGAACGCTGGAGAAAAACATATAGATCCCAGTTTATTTTCTATCTCAGCCCTGAAGAAGGGGGTAGTTATGACATATGCATTTGCTCTGCCCTTTAAGCACATTTAGAGCACACAGTTCCAACTGTGATGATCCAAGGCCTTCCCCAGCTCCATGGTTTAGAAGAAAACTGGGGCCATTGTGCTCACACACAATGGATTAGAACCCAAAAATCTACTCTTTGTTTTCTCAGGAAGTTGCAGTCTTGCCACCCAGTCTTTTTCTTATATTGTTTCCTTCGTTCTATCATTATGTTCTTGATTTTTAGATTGTCATGCTGATTGGAATTGCTCATGCACTGGTCGTCTATCGAGTTGTAGTGACAGTCATCTTCACTCATTCCGGCTCAGAATTCTTTCGTGAGAAAGCCATTACCATTGCCGTAATGACAGGGGCTGTCTTGCACTACCTGACCATCATCACTATGAGCAAGGTATGGGGATTTGTGAATTTCCAGCCATTTAGTCTTGCATTTGCTCTCCATAGCATACATCTTATTTTTTGTTTTAATTTTTGTTTTATTCTTCCTTGTTGCAGGTAAACAGGCGTGTAGCACTCTTTCTCTGTGATATTGGTAAGAAAAACTGACACTTTGTCCATAAACTTGTTTGCATGTCATGGAGATCTGTGTAGATAGCCCACACTGGTTTTATGTTTGGTATCTGGGAAAACTGAAACAGTTAACGTGTGACCTTGGGCAAGGAAAGTGTGGCAGAACTATAATGCTTTCATCTTTGAGCATCTGATGAGCCTGCATTATTGCTTCAAAGAATTCCTGTTCTCTAAACACAACAGAGCCAATATTCATAGCCAGTCTCATCAAATGGTCAGGCATGGCAGGAGAAGCATTCCAGAAACTCTTTAGAATCATAGAATTGGAAGAGATCTGCTTCAGCCACCTACCATGCAGGAACACATCAAAGGCTACAAGTCCTCTGTGCCTGCTTTTAGAGATAAGTTAGGATAAAACAGTGGACCAAGATACCTAAACATCTATTTCTAGTAGGATTTGGAATAGGCTTGCTGAGATTTTTTTGTGTCAGGAATGACTTGAGAAACTTCAAGTCACTCCTGGTGGAATAGGCTTGCTTAGATGAATAATGCTTACAGTTAACATTGCTGTCTTATGTTCCTGTTTCCAGAGAAGCCAAGGACATTCAGTGAGCGTGAGAAGAGCTTCACCTTCAGATACTTCACATTCCAGTTCTTCACCCACTTTTCTTCTCTGATCTATGTTGCTTTCTTCCTAGGAAGGTAAACAGAAAGTAGCAAAGGGGGGGGGGAGTTCAATTTCTAATGGGTGGGAATGTTCGATTGCAATTGGGAAAAGTAGGCATTAGATTTGGAGGCACTCTCCCTCCGATTTGCACTTCTAAAACGGAAAGCATGGTGGTCTTCCAGTGGTGGTGGATTTTTATCCCATCCTTCTCAACCCCAAGGGGGACTCAGAATGGCTTACAAATGGCTGCCATTAGATGCCAACAACAAACAATCACCTTACAAAGCAAACTGACATTAGATAAATACAAGAGTATAAAAATACATTAAAAAGCACATTAATACATTAAAATAAAAAAAAACTAAAAACAGCGCCAAGCCCAAATCCAAATCAGAGTCCAGAGTTCCAGTCCGAAGTCTATCCATGGTTAGTTCTCATAGATTTGGAGGCAAATTTTAAAATGACATATATTTCCACCATTAAAATGATGCAATCTGAGTAATTGGTGTTACAATGAATTATTATTGTGAATTTGCTTACTTAGGACACCTTTGACAACTCCTGTATTCAGAATGCATGGAGTGAATCCTCTGATCTTATTTCTATATCTATTGGTTTGTTGTGAGTTTTCCAGGCTGCATGACCACGTCTCTCCAGTCATTTTGCCTGCATCTATGGCAGGCATCCTCAGAGGTTGTGAATTCTGTTGGAAACTAGGAAAATGGGGTTTATATATCTGTGGAAGGTCCAGGGTGGGGGAAAGAACTCTTGTTTGTTTGAAGTAGGTGTGAATGTTTCAATTGGCCACCTTGATTAGCATTTAATGGCCTAGCAGTTTCAAGGTCTGTCTTCTTACTGTCTGGGGAATCCTTTGTTGGGAGGCGATTAGCTGACCTTGATTGTTTCTTGTCTGGAATTCTTGTTTTTTCGGGGGTTGTTCTTTATTTACTGTTATGATTTTAGAGGTTTTTTTAAAATACTGATAGACAGATATTGTTCATTTTCATGGTTGCTTCCTTTCTGTTGAAATTGTCCACATTCTTGTGGATTTCCATGGCTTCTCTGTCTGGTAGTTGCTAGATTGATCCAGCATTTCTGTGTTCTCAAATAATGTATTTATTATTGTTGTTTCTCAACTTGTCAATTTGATTTTTTTTAAAAAAATCTGGCTATGGGGCTCCTTTTAGCCCTATTTTATCACTTTGCTCACAGTGACTTCCAAACTACGTAATTATCAAAAGTAGATAGCTTTAGGAATTGATAATATGTTGATTGCATTTTCCTCTTTAGAATTAATGGTCGTCCAGGAGATTATGTTCGTATTCTTGGCAAGTGGAGACTGGAAGAAGTAAGTTCCTTCACTTCAATGGTTTTGCCTTTCTCACTTTTTTTGGTATTCTTTTCAACAATGAAATTACTCTGCCTACTTATTTGTCTTCCTGACACATCCTGTGAGCCATTCTTGTACCTGGTGGATGCTGACCACCTTTCTGATTCTCCAAGTTCATCATTTCTTTGGATTTGCTTTCGGAAATTCCCAGAAAAAAGTTGCCCAAAATGGCAGCCAGCCTGCATTATTATAACATATAAATGGGTAAAGGTAAAGCAAAGGTAGTCCCCTGACATTAAGTCAGTCATGTCTGACTCTGGGGTGTAGTACTCATCTCCATTTCTAAGCCGAAGAGCCAGCGTTGTCCGTAGACACCTCCAAGGTCATGTGGCCGGCATGACTGCATGGAGCGCCGTTACCTTCCCGTCGGAGCGGTACCTATTGATCTACTCACATTTGCATGTTTTATAAATGGGTAAGGATGCATTTTAGGTGCAAACTGTAATTATGCTCCCTGGGTGACCTTAGACCAGACACCATTTTTCAAAGCTGCCTTCCAGGGTTTTGTTATGAGGATAAAATATGGGGAGAGGACTATGTGTGCAATCTTATTCTCCTAACAGGCTATAAATGTAACAGAGCATCTATTTCAAAGTGCTGGCTTTGGCCTATAGGGCCCTAAACAGCCCGGCCCAAATTACCTGTCCGAACGCATCTCCCCCTATGAACCATCATGGAGATTAAGATCCTCCGGGGAGGCCCTGCTTTCTGTCCTGCCATTGTCACAGGCACGATTGGTGGGGACAAGAGACAGGGCCTTCTTGGTGACTGCTCCCTGGCTATGGAACTCCTTTCCTGGTAGGATCAGGTCGGCCCCCTCCTTCCTGTCCTTTAGAAGGATGGTAAAAACTTGGCTGTGGGACCAAGCTTTTGGGACAGGGCAATAAAGCAGCAATAGGAAAGATGACCAGGCCAGTTAGATTTGACTGGAATTTAAATAGTGTATTTTAATATTTTGATAAATGTTTTTTAATGTTTATGTATGGTATGTGAATCTGTGTCCCGCCATTGAATGTTTGCTGTGTATATGCTGTGCTCTGCCCTGAGTCCCCTTCGGGGTGAGAAGGGCGGAATATAAATGTTTAAAATAAATAAATAAATAAATAAATAAATAAATAAATAAATATTTCTCTCTTCTGTTTATCTCAGTGCCATCCTAGTGGCTGCCTCATAGATCTTTTTATCCAAATGGCCATAATCATGATATTAAAGCAAACCCTGAGCAACTTTGTGGAGTTCATGCTTCCGTAAGTCACTACATATTACCATATTAGATCTACCTTTTCTTTGGGGAATTGTGGAATTTTGAAGCCAGAGTGAATACATTGTGTGGAAATGGCTTGTACGTTGATAACTCTTTTATAGGAAGTATCCTATATGCTTCAACCTTGAGTGTGATAAGAATTATTGCATTTGGCTGTAGGAGGAATTTCTGTTCCTTCAAATCAGATTGGCAAACTTGGGAGCATGGCTTAGAATTCCATCCTTTTGTAAAATGTGATATGGCTCATTGGCTTCAATAAACTTTGGTATTTGGTTTTTGATTTTCTATATGTTTTGGTCTTCATTTCCCAGAAACCTTAGCAAGCATGAACAGTGGCCAAGGATTCAAAGGATTTAAACAGAGGATTGATGGTTTAAACAGAGGCTGGATGGCCATCTGTCGGGGGTGCTTTGAATGTGATTTTCCTGCTTCTTCGCAGGAAGAAGCAGGAAATCTGGATGGCCCATGAGGTCTCTTCCAACTCTATGATTCTATGATTCTGGAAGTTGAGCCCAAAATAATTGAAAGACTAAATGTGGAAAGCCGTTGATAGCATGCTTTTTATATGAACCCACAAAACTCGGTGTCTAGCCCATTCCTCCTCCTCCCCAAGGGGTGAACTTTCGATCTTAAAAGCTTTCAGGAGAGTTAATCTGCTTTTTAAAATTGGTTGTAAATATGTCTGGTACTATATGAAGCATCAAATCATATCCATTTTTTAAAGAAAGAAATTGACTTCTGGCCACTTGTTTTAGATTGCTGTTCTTTCAGCATTTTTGGTAGTCCATGCAGCACTTGGAGTGTATTATATTCCAGACTTACCCCAGTTTTCCACCTGTGAAGTAGTGCATTTTGCTCATTCTTATCCTATCTGGAGCCCCCGGTGGTGCAATGGGTTAAACCCTTGTGCTGGCAGGACTGAAGACCGACAGGTTGGAGGTTCAAATCCGGGAAGGGCACGGATGAGCTCCCTCTGTCAGCTTCAGCTCCCCATGCGAAGACATAAGAGAAGCCTCCCATAAAAATGGTAAAACATCAAAATATCCGGGTGTCCCCTGGGCAACGTCCTTGCAGATGGCCAATTCTCTCTCACCAGAAGCAACCTGCAGTTTTTCAAGTCACTCCTGACATAAAAAAAATCCTTTTATATTTTATATATATTGATCTGTAAATATAGAATGATCTACTAGGGAGCTAAAATATAAAACAACTTTTCCTGCCAGTAAGATCTGTGATGCAATGAACTTCTAGTCTATTTCACATCTATGGATTTGAACCATTTTGTACATACGAGCATCTAGGAAATTCATGAGGAGTAAAAATAGTAGGCTCCACTTATGAACAGACACTGTTTGTAGTAATTGTATGCCTTCGTGCAAGGAACCATGTGGACCTTCAGTTATTGGCCTGCAACTCCCATTGCATCTTATTCTTTTGCTCTGCAGTCTAGTAACATCACAACTTTGTGGCAATCTTTCATTAGACTGCTTCCATCAAATTGATTGCAATTGTTGCACATATGTCCATTATGTAGAAAATCTAGCTCTTTAAAACTGTGTCTCTTCAAAAATTAAACACACCCACTAACTTAATGGGTTGTCCTCCATTATCCCCAGACCCTCATCTGGTACACGTCAGATGTAACTCTAGCCTAGGAGAACAATTTTCATTGCAAACCAATGTTATAGATAGATTTTTGAGAGTGATCTGTCATTTGTTCAGGTTAGCATGGACTGAAATTATCACCTTAAAGGCAGATATTCATCTATATCTCTTTCAGCTCACTGAATTTGTATTTTGAAATTTATCTTGTCTTGTTAAATGTTATGTATTTGTCCCAACAGATGGGTAAGCTATAACTTCAACTTGCTGTGTGGAAAGACCCAAAGCAATAGCAGGGTTCATTCAGAGGAAAGAGCCCAGGATCCCTGCAGAGAAGAATGGCTGTGGAACTATCAGCTTAATGAAGTCAACCCCTTCAGTTTGTTTGATGAGTATTTGGAGATGAGTAAGTGGTCCTAACTAATCATAACATCACAAACTTTTCTCTTACGTTAGATTAACTCATTATGTTTTTTCCCGTTTTAAAACAGCGAAAATCCTTGTGGTATCTTTAATACCAATTTTGGCATAAGTTTTCATAAACTCAATTCAAACAGCTCTTTTATCTTCTGTTTTTCTTTTTTGCATCACAGAAAGCTTTTTAGTTAACTTGAGGCTGAATCATTTAAATAGGACTCACAGAAAACTTTGTAGCAACTGCATTGTGCTTCTGGTGGAGAATGCATCTGCATCATTGTGCTTTATGCCATGCAAGTTATTAGACTACAGTATACACATAGCCTCCAGCCCAGCAAATGTTATACATAATTGCTATAAATTTGTCTTTAGTTTTCTGCCTCATTCCAGTATATTCCTTTCTAAATCCTTAGTGATTCAGTACAGCTTCACTACTATTTTTGTGGCCGCCTTCCCTTTTGCTCCGTTGCTGGCCTTCATCAACAACGTCATTGAAATTCGAGTAGATGCCATCAAGATGGTGAGATTACAGAGGCGGATGGTGCCCAGAAAAGCCAATGACATTGGTAAGATGAGTGTCAAAGGTGACACCATTTAGGCATTTTATTCTGATATGTTTGTTGATTGTTGTTATTACTGTATTAATCTCATTTCCTCCTCATATGCTTCCTGAAACTAGGACTCAGTGCAGCTTAATAATAATAATAATTATAATAATAATAATTATTATTATTATTATTAATTAATTTATTTATTTAGTCGTGTCAGGAGCAAGTCGCTTCTGGTGTGAGAGAATTGGCCGTCTGCAAGGACGTTGCCCAGGGGACGCCTGGATGATTTGATGTTTTTATCATCCTTGTGGGAGGCTTCTCTCATGCCCCCGCATGAAGGGCTGGAGCTGATAGAGGGAGCTCATCTGCTTCTCCTCGGATTCGAACCTGCGACCTGTCGATCTTCAGTCCTGCCGGCACAGGGGTTTAACCCAGTGCACCACCGGGGGCTCCTATATATATATAATAATAAAAAACTTTATTTATATTCTACGCTCTCCGAGGGGACTCAGGGCAGATTATAGTACACATGTACAGCAATCATTCAATACCATTATACAATTAACAAAGACAGACAGTACATAAACAGAGGTAAAGGTTTCCCATCTTTTTCCATCTCTGGCATCTGGAGGCTGTGCTCTACTCCAGCCATTGAGGGGTGGGGTGGGGTGCTGCCACTCCATCTTCCATGCTGAGGAGCTTTCTTGTTTTTAGACGTTCTCCCGATCGAATTGCTGGCATGTCCTCATGGGTGCCTTTTATTACCTCCCCACCAAAGCTTAGTGTTGTGATTGTTTACCCAGAAACAGTGAATCAAAAGGTCGTTTAGGAAGAAGGAAACAATATAGTAACATAGGAAGTTGTCTAATATTGAATCAGATGTTTGTCCATGTAGCTCAGTACAGGTGGAACATCCCATTTCAGGTTTTCTGAAATTCAAAATACTCCAAAAACATCCACATGGATGACTGAGAAAGGTGCACCTGTTTGTTGTAAAAAAGTTTGTTTCATTCACGAAAGTTTAAAAAAATATTGTGTATGAAATTACCTCCAGGCTATGTGTTTAAGATTGATATGAAACACAAATGAATTTTGTGTTTAGACTTGTACTGTATCTCAAAGATACTTCATTATGTACTTGCGAATATTCCAACATCCTAAAAAATCCAAAATCCAGAATACAAACATTTTGAATAAGCATTTCTTCAGTATAACTTTTTCTTACCAGAATCCGACCCTTTTACGCCCTTTTCAGTTGAATATGTTGTAGCTTAAGTAGTCTGCTCATTTCTATGCTTCATCTTCTAAAAGTGCATGTCCTCAACTCATGGTGAGCCTGAGGGGGCATTTACAGCACCATGTTGGGTCGAACAGCTCCACCACTTTGAGAACTGGTTGCTTCTGCCCTCTGAGTTCAACCGATCATGAAAAGGTCTCTTTCTGGTTTTCTCACCCATTGCAGGAGCCTGGTTGCAGGTACTAGAAGCAATTGGCATTTTGGCTGTCATTGGCAATGGCTTAGTAATTGCCATCACTTCAGATTTCATTCCCATGGAGGTGTATCAATACATGTACAGCCCCTGTGTACAGAAGAACCACAGCAACATAGAGTAAGTTACCACTTGACAGTAAGTTACTGACCATCATGGAAATGTGATAAGCAAAAATGAGGAAATTTCACAAGTATCTTCAGAAATGGGGCATGTTTGATGCTGAGTGTGCAAGAAAGAACATCATTTTCTGAAAACTTTCCTACATAAGTACCATATTTTCCGGCGTATTAGAAGACTTTTTAACCCTGGAAAAGTCTTGCTGAACTTGGGAGTCGCCTAGTACGCCGAGTATAAAAAATCACATCTTGTTTTGGGTCCAAAACAAGATGGAAGCTGCTAACAGGCGAGGGAGGCAGGCAGCTGCCCTGCACTGGAGAAGGGCGCACGAAGCAACAGCTGCTGTGTTCCTCCAGCGCTGCTTGGCTACTGCTGCCGAGCTTCAGCTTCCCCGAGGGGCTCCTCCGCTCCATGCCCACCTTGGCTGTTAGTGCAGCAGTGGAGGAGGAGACGACGTGGCCTTCCGGCGAGAATATCGCCTCCTCCTCTGCCGCACTGAGTGGAAGAGCCCCTCGGTGAGGCTGAAGCCCAGCAGCGGGAGCCAAGCAGTGCTGGGGGAGCGCGGCAACTGCTGCTGCTTCGGACACCCTGCTCCAGTGCAGGGCAGCTGCCTGCCTCCCTCACCTGTTAGGAGCCTCCACCTTGTTTTTGATCCAAAACAGGAAGTGATGAGCATGGCGGTTGGCTGGCTGCGGCAGTGCCTGGCTGCCGGTGGAGGGGAGGTCACCTCTATGGAGCCGAGAAGCCGTCTTAAGGCCCAGGAAAGCAGGCTTCGGGGCCTGAAGGGGCTGGCAAGAAGGGTAGTCTAATACAGCGAGTATATCCAAATATTGAAATTTTAAATTGAAAAGTTGGGCAGTCATCTTATGTGCCCAGTCGTCTAGTATGCTGGAAAAAATGGTATCTAATATTGCCCAGTTAGTGGCTGCATACATTACCTCATACTACATGGGTGTATTGTGGCCAGAGAAGTATAGCACTATCAGAGCATTAAAGAATTCACTGTTTTTAAAGAGCTATATTTAAGGAAAATATATACTCAGTCTATCCTGCTTTCTTTTACATAATCATGAAGTCAGGAAAATTATTCCAATAAGAACCAGGCTAAATGGGGGGATTTTTTTGTACAACAATAAAACTGAAGTGCTATAAGTTACCAAAAGTAAAAAAAAATCCAAAAGGCACTAAGCTCCACATAATTTTTAGTATGGCACATATCACAGAAATTCAGCACTGAGAATGAAAACAGTCATTACATTAACAATTGAAAATCTAAACCAATTGTACACAAATAAGTTCTATTAAAAGCTGAAAGCAAATGACAAGTGTTCAGTTTCACTCAGCAGTTTGCTGAAAACTGTTTTGTGTTTTTCGTGCTGGTCTTATAACCCACATAATTTGACTGGAATTATATTGCACCCCATATGATTGTAAACATTTTTGTTGTGTGTAGCTGTTTGACAGGTTACATCAACTACAGCCTTTCTGTCTTTAATGTCCACGACTTTGAGAACCCCAAGGATCTGGCAGAGCTGAAGGACTCCATGGGGAACAATATAACACACTGCAGGTATTGACAAAAGCATAAAATGGTTTTCAGCATGGGAACTTCACAGACGAATCCATTAAGTATTATATTGATCTTAGCCTTACTCCATTCAATAGAACTTGTGTTAGCATCACAGCGGTGGAGTAGTGTGATTGCAAATGGACATAGGAATTATGAACTAGCTAATCTAAGCATACTTTCCTTCAGCATCCTAATGAAGGAGAGCCCAAGCAAATAGGGGTTTGCCCTGAAAGCGATGCTCTTATCCTTTCTTAAGGCACTTCTAAAGATCATGGATCACACTTTTGTGCAAGTACCCATAGCCTCCTTGAAAGATCAAGAAAGAAAGAAATGGACAGGTTCTGGGAAACTGGTGGAATATTTTCTCCCGCTGATAGCTGTCCTCTTTACTGTCACTGCTGGCAACCTCCCCTGACACACATTTTCTGTGAAACAATATGGATGTTTCTTGTGCCTCTTGTTTTAAGTGAAGTATGGGGATTGTGCTGCTACGATGACACCAAATTTTACCACAGTGCCCATAAATTTGGCTGTGTCAGGTATACGAAAACATTTGAAAAGGCACATGTAACTTGCAATACTTTGGTGGAGATACTCATCTTGCCTAAAGATGTGTTTATGTCAGACGTTTTCTCAAGGTAGTTTGAAATAATGTTTAGTGTCTCTGTTAAGTGCTTTAGTTGCAACAAGTTGAGATTGCAAACAATATTTTCTGTATTCTGATAAAAAGAGAGCGCTCCCTGCCCAGGGCTGTAACCAGAAAATTTTTTTGGGGGGGGGTTGAAATTTTTGGGGGGGGGGGTTGAAACCTTCCTCCTAGCTCACGCTGAAGCAAAGAGCACAGCAGGGGGCAGAGCAGCCTGCAGCTCTGCCCCTGTCAACCACCTCCACCAAGTCTGGCCTCCTTAATGAGAGCATTCAACACCCCCCCCCCCAACTTGGTTGCTTCGCTACATCGGCTATTGCTGCAAGTAATGACAGTGTGAATAAATTGTCAATATTTGCTTGAGATAGTGCTTGCAGTTCTGGAGGGACTCTTAATTTTTTTGCGTCTCATAGATTTAGCATGGGGATTTGGTAAACCAGTTAAAATTTATGAGTAAACCAGTTTTTTTTTAACCTGAAAAAATTCTGGGGGGGGGGGGTGTTGAACCCCTAACCCCTCCCCCCCTGGGCTACAGGCCTGTCACTGCCAGCTGGACAACTCATATAATCTAGTCAGTCCATAGAAATTGAACTCTACCTCCTTCCCAGTCCTTCTCCGTGTTTCCTGCATACAACTGCTGGGATTAACTCTACTTCCAATGACATCTTCAAGTCCAGACTATTCACAGGTCTCCTAATGAATAGTCCTTCTGCTGTTCTTTGTTGAATGAAGGCTGAGAGGAGATATGATAGCCATGTATAAATATGTGAGAGGAAGCCACAGGGAGGAGGAAGCAAGCTTGTTTTCTGCTTCCCTGGAGAATAGGACACGAAACAATGGCTTCAAACTACAAGAAAGGAGATTCCACCTGAACAAGAGGAAGAACTTCCTAATGATGAGAGAGAGCTGTTCAGCAGTGAAACTCTCTGCCCCAGAGTGTGGTGAAGGCTCCTTCTTTGGAGGCTTTTAAACAGAGGCTGGATGGCCATCTGTCACGGGTGATTTGAATGCAATATTCCTGCTTCTTGGCAGGGGATTGGACTGGATGGCCCATGAGGTCTCTTCCAACTCTTTGATTCTATGAAATTCAGGTGTCCCATGGGCAATGTCCTTGCAGATGGCCAATTCTCTCACACCAAAAGCGACTTGCAGTTTCTCAAGTCGCTCCTGACACACACAAAAAATCACAGAATTCTGAACAAATATTTATATATCACTTCATTGCTTCCTGCAGGTACCGGGATTACAGGAACAGTGATGACTACAGCTATTCAGTCCATTTTTGGCATGTTTTTGCTGCTCGTCTTGCCTTCCTTATTCTTTTTGAGGTATTTATTTGCAAAAGTGCCTGTTGTAGATGTTCTAATAGAGGGCAGAATTCCAGCAGGTTAGTTTTCAGCTAATCAAAATGTGATTGTGAAGGAACACTCATGCTCTTTTCTAGTCTCATGCAACATGCCACCCTGCACTTGAAGCATGTCATGTCTCTTTCAGCAAATTGTGATTTATGGTGTCCCTGACCAAACTTGTCCCACTTGGAAAAGAGGTTAAAGGAATTCTCAGAAAAATAACCCTTTCAGTTGCACTAGCATTGGGTAAATTCTTGGACGTCACTTCAAAAGAACAAATAAATATTGAACAGATACTTTTGCTACATATGTGAGAAAAATTGGATCCATGGGCACATGCCTACGGCTTGCTCTAACACTACTATAGTAAGAGAAAGTTATCCTGCAAGCACAACTGCATGCTTTTCTCCCAAGATGTTTAATGTAAATTGGGTTGTCATCTTAATTGGATCCAGGTAGTAGGCACTGGCAGGCTAAACCTTCTTAGCTCTGGAGATAAAACAGTGGCATTCAGTTTATTATCTGGACCCAAGATCAGACATTTTTGCCAGCTAGCATGAGGCAGCTAGAATTGGTCTTGGCTGCATTTCCCTGGACTGTACAGAAGGCTTGCGTTGAATTATAATGGGGCCTTGGTGCAGATGGCCTTTGGACGTGATTCAGTGCTGAGCTCATAATGGCAGGATTTGGATGGCTTGTAGTGAGAGTTTGATGTGGACTCATGCTGTTTAATAACTGTGATGCAGTAATTAAACAGTTGTGTGCCCAAAAGAACTGTTGCAACATAGTTAATATTCATCAGGTTGGAATAAAATACAATTGAGTGATTTCTGGAGTATTTTTCTGAAGGTTCTAGAATAAAAATGCCCAGTGTTCCCAGGGGTATTTGTGTGGAGAAAACAAAACTTATTTCATGTTATTCAAATACGCAAAGACAGGAAACGCAGGTTCACTGAGATTACTGGAAAAAGGTAATTAATAAATATATTTTAAAATACTGCCACTGCTATTTGTAACTGAAAAAAATGAAGAATGAGGTGCTTATGAACTCCAAAAATAAAGAAACCAGTCCTAAAGAAATCTTTTAAAAATTACTTCAATTAAAAACTGCATAATGGAATGATGGTTGTTGTTATTGGCTCTGATTTATGACAGCCCCATCATAGAATTTTCTTGGCAATATTTATTCACAGGGGTTTGCCATTGCTTTCCACACTTGATAGGCTTCTTTGGTTAAGCAGGAATTCAAACCTTGATTTCCTAGTGTCCCAGTTCAGTCCTCAAGCCAATATACCACACTGGTGGTGCATTAATGGTATTGTGGAGTGATTTTCTGCCCTAGTGGCAGAACAGTTTCAGCTGAGGAAATGTCCTGTAATTAAATGCTATTCTTTATGCCAACCATGCTACAAGAATATGTGCTCTAATGTCTCAACCGTTGGAAGCAAATTTCTACATGTGGCCTGCCAGTTTCCTTATTTATTCTCTACTGCACAAGCAACAGTTTGTGTATGTATGTTCTATAGTATGATGCCACTGAATGATAGGTCTGTTTTCAATTTTCAGTTAGGGAAAAAGTCTTTCAGAACATTTCATTCTTTGGGAAAATATCGGTTATCTATTGTTGTTACCATATTGTAACCAGACTTCCTGTTTATGAAAATATTCTCTTTGTGAGATAGCATGTCATCTTAACATAAAACTATGCTTTATGACATACTTTATTTGTTTACGGGGCATATAATACTATATTGTTTTTTCTGGTTGGATGAAGGTTAATAGGAGCAGCTTGCTTTGAATACAATTGTCACCTGTCTAGAAGATTATGGTTGTAATTTATTTATTGTGAGGAATGAAGTCTGATGGACCTACTGGCCTTTTGCAGCATGTGGCCCTGTGTATCAAATTGATTGCTGCCTGGTTTGTTCCTGATGTGCCCAGGGGGGTGAAGAATACGCATCTGAGAGAAAAACGTAAAAGGCTGTTGGAAAGACTCAGGTATGTGTGGTGTTCAAGTCAATCCAACTGTCCAAATGCTGGATCACTGTAACAACCACCATGTCAGACTACACAGAGAAGCCATTGAAATCCATAAGCATTTGGACAATTTCAACAGAAAGGAGGAAACGATGAAAATGAACAAAATCTGGTTACCAGTATTAAAAAAACTCTAAAATTACAACAGCAAAACAAGAGAGGAAACAATCAGGGACAGCTAATCACCTCTCAACAAAAGATTCCCCCAGGCACTAACAAGCCACACCAAAAAACTGCCAGGCCATCAAATGCTAATCAAGGTGGTCAGTTGAAACATTCACACCTAGCTCAAACAGACAAGAGTTCTTTGTCCCACCCTGGACATTCCACAGATATATAAACCCAATTTTTCTAGTTCCAACAGACCTCACTACCTCTGGGGATGCTTGCCATAGATGCAGGCGAAATGTCAGGAGAGAATGCCTCTAGAAACATGGCCATATAGCCCGAAAAATAGGAGTATCTTGAAGTGCAAAGTAAGATAGTTTTATTGCCTATTATCATCACCATCATCACCACCACCACCATCATCATCCATCAAGGCTTAGAGTAGCATCCAAATACTTCTGGTGGTTTACCAACTAAATATGAATGCTATGTTTCCTTAAATTTACTCTTCTTTAGGATTAGATCAGGGCCATATCAGCCTCAGTATTGTCTTCAAATGGTCATTGAATCTATGAATAGAGAATTCATGGATGAAGAGAGCTAACTATAATTTTTTTTTTTAACATAGTGGTTGCTGCTCTTTAGTTTTTCCCAATTTGGATCCCCAGGTGCTATTGAACAACTCCCGTCACTTTTGATTTTCCATCATGTGGACTAGGGATAATGGGAATTACAGCCAAACTGCACTTGTAGCTCTGAGATTGGGGAAAGGCTATAGGAGAATTTAAAGTCAGACATTCTATCCACAAGCCTTGTATCTAAATTCCAACCCTACTATCCTGACTAAACAGAGCAAATTGCAGTCTTCCAGGTGTTACTGTATCAAAGCTCCCATCAGTTCTAGTCACAATGTCTAATGATGAGGAATACAGGAGTTGGAGACCATCATCTGGAAGGACATATAAAAGAACATGGTGGGCCACATTAGGACCCAAGGACCTTAAGTTTGATACCTGTGGATTAGATGTTTTCTGAATATTGTAAAATGCAACTAAAATTAGAGAACTGTTTCTGTATATTTTAGAGAAATGGACGACTCCACAGAAATCTAGCAAAATGTGAAGGAGTGTCTTGGGATCAAGAGAAGAAATCTTCACACCAAGTGCCTAGCAGAATCGTATTTGTAGGTTTTCAAGATGACAGTTGAATTCTACAGGCCTAGCTTGATCTATTACTTCTACTTTTTGTGAACATTAACTCATCAGTGAGATGAAACAATGCGAAGAAATGCAGTATTTATAGGACAAGTGAGACCAGGTGGCAGTCAGCATATGAGGCAAAAAGAAATAAGAATATTCTGTTGATAAAAGATGATGTTACAGGAAAACTAAAAGCACCTTAGTTTATCCAAAATTTCATGCTTTTCTCCAATAAATGGGAAGGATCTCAAGAACTGACAAATGTCACCAGCCAAAATGCAATGGACATTGAACAGCCACAAAATACATACATTGCTTCCTCAAACTCACAAAATGCATCATAAATATTATCGTTTATCAGTCAGCAGGAAATATGTTAAGATGGAATTCACATGGGTATATCAGCACACATTTTTATTCCTTGATTTGAATATAAATTTGTTTGTGTATAATGTGGCTTGACCTACAGACACATGGGCTCAATACTCCTGATATTTTTTAACTTCTTGGCAGTGATCTTAAACAAGACCTACAATGCTCCTTAAACTGTTGAAAAGCAAACTCTTCAAAATAACTTCTTCAACCTTCTACATCACTCCCCTTGACTTTTTAATGGTACACAATCTGATACAGGGACGTGTTTCAATGGGGATTCATTCATAAAATCAGTCAAATTATCTACCCACCTCACTATGATGATGGGAGACTTAATGCCAATCTAGAAAGCACTCTAAAGCCTTTTTGATATGGTAAGCATGTCCTGCTTCTATAATTCAAATGAGCCTTTAGGAAAGATGCCTTTAATCAGGTTACAAGAGGAGCACACTCAAAAGTAATTATTTGTGTATCTATATATATTTGCCTCACCTTTTTCTGATATAATATGAATCTGTAAAGACATATCCACACATAAATGTAAGCACTGTAGTAACTGTCTTTGGATTCTTTATTCAAGATGCTCTTGAAATTCATTTTTATGTTTTGCCAATTCATAAATGGTATATACAAATGCAAGGACAATATACTGCATTCTTAACTCAGCCAAGAGAATTCAGATGATCATAAAATGCTGTATTTACGAAAAAAGATGTAGCAGAGCATAAATGCATTTTAATGGTTGCACATAAAAGGGAATTTTAACAGGTGCACCACAGTATAATATGTGACAGCACTCACACTAGTTTCAATTCACTTTTCTGTACAAGGGCTGTGTATTTCACCACACTTAATTACTATATTTATAAACTGTTATGTGTGTTGAATTCTTTTGTGCTCCCTATCAGGATACAAAGCAAAATACGAAAAGCGTAAAATATTTATATTTTGATATGGTCCAATTACTTTTGTCCATTGACTTTATTATATTATACAAATTGGCTAGGGCTGAATGAATCCTGTAATTGATCTTTAACATTATTACCCTTACATTGAAATTCTCTGACTTTTCATTATGTGCTGATATTACTGATCTTATGTGTATTGCTTAAAGTTATTTGGAACAAAATCACAAACTGAAACGTCCAGGGTATGCTGAAAGGCACTTTTGTATTTTTACCCTGAGCAGAATCTTGACTTTTTGGAAAGAGATTTAGCTGTTGATTTCAGTGACCACAATTATTTTCCCTGGCTCCTGAAATCTACTTTGGAATTGGCACTCTAGATGTGAAAGATCACCCAAAGACAACATTACATTTAGGTGAACTTAAATGTGAAGTTAGGTATCAATTGTTCCATTTTTCTTTTGGCAAATTCTCCATCTTACTGAAGTTAAACGTGGCCGGCAAGAGCATTCTTTGAAATCCAATGCGTTCTGTGTAGATGAATCAGCAAAACTGCTTGGTGCCATAATATTCAGGAAGGATTTTACTCAGGGAATCTCCTTTAAAGCTATGTCTTATAGTAACAAGAAGATCAGAAGTTTTGACCCTGTGGATTATTTGAATAGCAACTCTTGTCTATGGAACCTGAGAACTTTTATTGGGAACTTGCAGTTTTTCACATTTTTCTAATCTTGTGTTTCTCATTGTTTTTAAAGTTGTACTTTTAAAGAAAACGCACCCTTATTAAAATTTTGTACATGTTAATTTTTATTAAATGGGATTTTATACAATAAACTTTTTTAAAAATAAATTACAACCTTTCAGCATTCAGTAGTCTGATTTTATTTCAGTATGAACAGAGCAAAGCAGGAATCTTGTTCTTTCTTCAGAATGCATCAATTTGGCAGTGATCATAGGTCAGAGGATGGAAAGTGCATGGATCCCTGACAATAGATCATGCTAGTTGGTGCTGATAGGAATTTAGAGTCCATTAATGTTGGTAGGAATTACTCCAGTACTACTAAAAACAGGGCAATAAAACTTAAAAACTGTTGCTCTTCCTTCTCCCCCCATTAAAGAGTTTCCATGTGTTGCCTATATGTTTCCTGTGAAGTTGCATTTTACTCTTGTTTTTATTTATTTATTTATTTAAAACTTTTATATCCCAATCTTCTCTCCCTCCGTAGAGGGACTCAGACTGGCTGACAGCAAAAATTCAATGCGAACACTAAAATCTAAAATATCATAAATCAACATTAAAATTAACCAATACATATAGGATAAATCACATAACAGCTGTTCGCCAAGATAAAATCATGTCAACTCAATAATGGTGTATCTAATAGCATTTTAAAAGAGTATGATGATTTCAAATATATGCATTTAGTATTGCTTAATACAAAGAAGTTTCCATATTCTCTATATAATAAATTCTCTGATACGATTTCTTCAAGCTTTAATTCTAATCCAGAAAGCATTTAATGGATGCTGTTTCTCTGATGGAGCCAGCATGGTATAATAGCTTGAGTGCTGGAGACCAGACGTAAGATCCGGCTTGGCCATGGAAAACCACTGGATGACCCTGGGCAAGTCACACTGTCTCAGCCTTAGAGGAAAGCATTGACAAACTTCTTGACTAAAATTGCCAAGAAAACTCTAGTATAAGGTTGCCACACATTAGATGCTACTTGAAGACACAAAGCAACAATTCCTCTTGCCATTATTTCAACACCTGAAGGGATATCCAGATTTTTCACTAGTAGAGTTCTGGTTTTGAAATGACCTTTTCAAGCCCTTCATGACTTAGGAACAGAATTAGCATCTGAAGAACTCTCTCCCCATATAAGTCTGCAGGTTTGAACACTAGAGCAACTGCTTCTCTTCAGTGGTTCTCAACCTGTGTGTCCCCCGGTGTTTTGTCCTACAACTTCCAGAAACCACAGCCAGTTTACCAGCTGTTAGGATTTCTAGGAATTTAAGACCAAAACATCTTGAGACCCACAGATTGAGAACCACTGCAAGATGCTTCCACCAGCAGTGATACAGCAGTCATAAATGGAGTGAGGGCTTTCTTGATAATAGCACCCATCTGTGGAAACATTTGTCCAGGAGGAAATGTTCGGTGTACACATTGCTGCTTTTTGAATCACATGGCAAAGGTCCTGATTATTTTCATAAGTCTCCCTATTTTAAAGTATTCTTTAGATAAAAAATTATTGGATTAAATTGGATTTTATTTTTGTTTTTGTTAATTGTAAATTGCAGCTTATTTTGTTGTAGGATTCCAAGGTATCCTACACAATGTTTATTTGAAGAAGCGGATACACATTTATCAATTTACTAGTAAACAGCACAGAGTGCTCAGTATTCTTGTCTGAAATACACAGCCACAGCTGATTGAGACAGATGAGTTCAGAACTCATTTCCAGCTCAAAACAGATGAAGCTGTGCTGCATGTGAACTGAGTATACTCTTTTAGAGCATGGTGCTCAAATCCTTTGCAATGAGGCAAAGATAAAGATGGTCCTTGGCAGTAGTCAAATGAAGAAAGAACAAAACATATAGTATCTGTAATACACTGGTCACTGGGAGAAGCAGCATGGTGTGGTTTGGACTACAACTCTGATGGGTAGGATTTGAATTCCCTCAACTGGGTGACTTTTGGTGGGTCACACATTCTTAGCATCAAGGGAGGGCAAAAATAAACCTCCTCTGAACAAGAAACCCCTGTGATAGGTTCACATTAGGGTCACCAAAGGTTGGAAGTGACTTAGAGGTACTCAACAACATCCATTACCTTTCAACAATGAGTCTGGCTCATTTGATTTCATTTGAGCTATCAGATGTCAGGGCCTATACCTTAGAATCATAGAATCAAAGAGTTGGAAGAGACCTCATGGGCCATTCAGTCCAACCCCCTGCCAAGAAGCAGGAATATTGCATTTAAATCACCCCTGACAGATGGCCATCCAGCCTCTGTTTAAAAGCTTCCAAAGAAGGAGCCTCCACCACACTCCGGGGCAGAGAGTTCCACTGCTGAACAGCTCTCACAGCCAGGAAGTTCTTCCTAATGTTTAGATGGAATCTCCTTTCTTGTAGTTTGAAGCCATTGTTCCGCGTCCTAGTCTCCAGGGAAGTAGAAAACAAGCTTGCTCCCTCCTCCCTGTGGCTTCCTCTCACATATTTATACATGGCTATCATATCTCCTCTCAGCTTCTCTTCTTCAGGCTAAACATGCCCAAGTGCTTAAGCCGCTCCTCATAGGGCTTGTTCTCCAAAACCTTGATCATTTTAGTCGCCTCCTCTGGACACATTCCAGCTTGTCAATATCTCTCTTCAATTGTGGTGCCCAGAATTGGACACAATATTCCAGGTGTGGTCTAACCAAGGCAGAATAGAGGGGTAGCATGACTTCCCTGGATCTAGACACTATACTCCTATTGATGCAGGCCAAAATCCCATTGGCTTTTTTGCTGCTGCATCACATTGTTGGCTCATGTTTAACTTGTTGTCCATAAGGACTCCAAGATCTTTTTCACACGTACTGCTCTCGAGCCAGGTGTCCCCCATTCTGTATCTTTGCATCTCGTTTTTCCTGCCTAAGTGGAGTATCTTGTATTTGTCCCCGTTGAACTTCATTTTGTTAGTTTTGGTTTATCTCTCTAATCTGTCAAGTTTGTTTTGAATCCTGCTCCTGTCCTCTGGAGTAATGGGTATCCCTCCCAATTTGGTGTCGTTGACATAAGATCCAAACATACTTTTCAAAAGATGAAAGCAATAGATTAGGGTCAGCTCGTGATTCAAAGAGATATCAAGTGACTGTGGCAAAATCTAGAGAAATCTCAGGGTATGTCTACCTTCACGGTAGCCATCTTGTAATCTGATGGCACTCCACTTATCACTTCTTTCCAAGATGAAGAGGAAGCATTAGTGAGCACCCTCTGGGTTCGTCCATTTAACCAATTACAGATCCACCTCACCGTAGTTTTGCCTAGCCCACATTGGACTAGTTTCCTTGCCAGAAGGTCATGGGGGACCTTGTTGAAGGCCTTACTGAAATCCAGGTACGCTACATCCACGGCATTCCCCGCATCTACCCAGCTTGTAGCTCTATCGAAGAAAGAGATCAGATTAGTCTGGCATGACTTGTTTTTGATAAATCCATGTTGACTATTAGCGATGACTGCATTTGTTTCTAAGTGTTTGCAGACGCTTCCTTAACAATCTTTTCCAGAATCTTGCCCGGTATCGACGTGAGGCTGACCGGACGGTAGTTGTTTGGGTCATCTTTTTTTCCCTTCTTGAAGATTGGGACCACATTGGCCCTCCACCAATCTGCTGGAACTTCTCCCGTTCTCCCTTGTTCTCTGGTACTCAGCATAAAGGGGAATAATCTCATAATGGAAGCAGAACCTTCAAAAGTGTATGGATGGATGTGAGTGTGTGTGACTAGATTGATAGATATTCTTTCATTGATACTCTGTGCAGCTGTGGTTGATGCTTAATGTATCTTCCTCAATGACATCATCAAAGACCACCTTTTGTGACATCACAAGAGCTCTCTCCTAAGTCTGAGCTCTTGGCCTTATAATTTCAGCACCTAAGATAGCACAGACCTGGTAATTTACTGTCCCAAAACACAAACATCATAGTTAAAAGAGAATTTCTCAAGAGAAATTAGGGAACTTTGGGCATAAAAACTGATTAAAGATAATTTGAGGGTGCTGTTTTTCTACTCCAGTTGTGACAAAATGTAGAAAAAACAGTAACTTTGAAAGGTAAGATGAAAACTCATACTATTAACTTGTTATTAACTTATGATATCACTTCCCTTGCACTTACCTATGTTAACAGCAGCACTGAATTTATTAAGAACTTCTTTTCACTATAATATTGCTGAATCAAATGTGAAATGTATGTTCGGTACTTTGGGTATTTATGCATTTAATGTTTATTCTGCCTTTTGGGCATATATGCACATGGCTGTCTGACAACAATTATAATTAGCCACACAATAGACGAAGACAGGTGATGGTAGATAAAGCAGGAATTTCACTAAAAATGCATCCAATACAATAACAGCTTATCCAGAGCCTAAGCCAGACATTGTAAAGTTATTTCTAAGAAGAATGAACACGTTGAAGTCATCCATAACTGAGCAGTCCAAGTCCTGGAAGACTGCCCAGTTGTGAATAGTTTCATTAGGTTAAAATACTATTTTTTTCTTACAAATAACTTTCCCGATGTTGGCCTAAAGGATTGGTAATGTGGCAAAACACCATAAGAGATGGACATTCTTTTATTTTCTGTTATCTCTGTGGCAATAAGAGAACAAAGTTTTCTGGATGTCTGTGGTCATAGATTTAAGAATTGCAATAACAGCTCTGAGAAGGAACAGAAAGAGTCTGAATTCACTTTTAAACTTTAGGTCCTAGATTCAAGGATAAATTCATAATTTTGGACATATTGCTTAGATGTAAGACTTGGAAATGGGCATTGTAACACAACAGTATTTAAAAGTTAACCATTAGCCTTGTCTGTATACACAAGCTAGGGCTGATTTGGAAGGCTGAGGGACCATATACCTGCCCTGAATTGCAGTGATTTCTTTTAGCATTAGGAGGACTAATAGTAGCATTGAATAACAGCTCAGCTCCAGACTATTTGACGAACTGCATCTTCCACTACAGACCAATTCGGACATTGTGGTCATCGGAGGAGGCCCTGCTCTCGGTCCACCTCCATCCCAAGTGCAGCTGGTGGGAACGAGAGAAAGGGCCTTCTCCATGGCTGTCCCCCCTCCCCCCACCTCTGGAACTCC